GCCCTTGCGCTTGCCAGGGAAGTGCTAATTCTACTGAGCCATCTCCCTGGCCCAAAATACTTGGGTTCTTTTTTTTGCAGAACCAGGGACTGAACTCAGGCCCTTGCAATTTCCAGGCAAGCACTTATTCTACTGAGCTATCTCCCTAGCTCCCTCCCTATGTTTCTGTAGTTGACTCTTTACTTCAGATGCTATGAGTTCTGAGAATTCTTTTATTTCAGAAAACAATTCTGCTCTAAGTTCCTCTATAACTTTCTGCTCTTGCTTATTTAGTATCGATGCTATTAATTCATACATTTGAGCTGAGCTAGTAGAAAAGAATTCCGCTCTGAGTTCCTCTACGACTTTCTGCTGTTGCTTATTTACTATCGACACATTAATTCATGCATTTGAGCTGAGCTAGTGTCCTCTGCACTTGTTCTGGGTGGGCATTGGGTTTCCTCCATATGTTTCTGCATCTGATTCTTTACTGAAGATGTTATTAATTCAGGAATTTCTTTTTTCATTTCCAATCTGAGTTCCTCTATACCTTTCCGCAGCTGTTTGTTTATTTCAGAAGCCGTTGATCCATTGCTTTCAGTTGTGTGATTCCCAATTTGTTCTGTGTTAGTGTCTTCTGCACTTGTTATGAGTGGGCTTGGGTTCTGAGATTGCATTTTGTTCCTTGTCATTTTGTGTTGCACTGTCTTCTGACCTTTTTCGTAGATCTTTGTTGCAGTTATAACCTTAGCACGTACTGAAGTTCAGGTGCAGATCTACAAAGTTTGGATTTATCCAGTTGTGCCTGGCTTGGGTCTGTCTGCTGTGCTCAGCTCCTTTCTGCTGCCGCCCTTGGGAGTGAACCTGTTGTGCCCCTCTGGCAAGATGTTCTGCTCCTGGACTAGCTGGGTGGTTCTGTCCCCTATACTCTCTGCATGGATTGCAGCTGCAGGGTTCCACCCCAGCCCTGTAAGCCAGGAATGAGCTGAGTCTGGAGGGGAGAAGGTGGAGTAGGGGAGAGAGGCAGCTCTCCCACACACTCACCGGGCCTGGACTAGGACTGGATCTGGGGGTTCCCTGAACAGGGCAGAAATTCCTACTCTGTGGGTGGGGTGTGGTGGGGTACTACGGAGTGATGGGGGGCATCCCAAGAGGGTGAAAGAGGGTGTCACTCACTCTGTGCCTGGGCTGGGACCAGTAGGTCGCGCCAGCACAGGGTAGCCGGAAGCTCTCTCACATACTCACTGGGCTTGGGCTAGGACTGGATCTGGGGGTTCCCAGAACATGGCAGAAATTCCTACTGGGCTGGCGGGGTAGGGGTTGTGCTGTGGAGTGTGGGGGGTGTCCCAAGAGGGTCTCACCCATGCTGCACCTGGGCTGGGACCAGAAAGTCCTGCCGGCACAGGGTAGTTGGAAACTGTGCCACACACTCACTGGGCCTGGGCTAGGACTGGGTCTGGGGTTTCCGGGAAGGCAGCAGAAATTCCTACTCGGCTGGGGGTGTAGGGGGGGTACTGCAGAGTGGTGGGTGGCATCCCAAGGGGGTGGAAGAGGGTGCCCACGCTGTGCCTGGGCTGGGACCAGTAGGTCCTGCCGGTGCAGGGTAGCCAGAAGCTCTCCCACACACTCACTGGGCCTGGACTAGCACTGGGTCTCAAAACACATCTTTAAAGTCATGGTTTCACCAGTTGCTTGCATACAATTTGAGTAGATGACCCAACCTCTCACATTTCTTTTCCCTTTTTTCAAAGAAAACATTTACAAATCTATATACTGAGATTCATTAAGTTTAAGTTCTGCAAAGCATACAATTTTGATAGAATAAAATTAAGCAATCAGGGGCTAGCGAGATGGCTCAGTGGTCTAAAGCACCTACTTGGAACAAGCTTGGCAAAGCACAGG